AAGGCCTGTTTCACCCCTGCTCAAAGTCCTTTCCTGATGTGAGGCACTGGCTCTGCAACAGGCGGTGCAGGGTGTTGTGCCTTCCCGAGCGCTCCGGAGGGACAGACGGACACGGCAGCAGCGGGTCCCTTCTGCCCGGCCAAGCCTGGTCAAGCAGACTCTGCTAACTGCTGTTGTCCTCCTCCGACATGCCTCGTGGGCTAAATCTATAACCAGATCAAGGGTTTAGCTTTATCAGTGGCTGGAAACACATGACATTGTTCCCCAGGGGCAAAGTATCCTGCCCGCCTGGCATTTCCTTCAGGGCCTGCAGAAATCTCGGGTCTAGCTGCGCTCCCCAGGCCCGGGCAGCTCCGTGGCTTCCAGCGCTCCCCATGCAGAGTCGCGGGAGCTGCCCAGGGGTGCAGCACCCACCGCAGGCCTCGTCTTCCTGCAGAAATCACGTTTTTTGCAGAGCCAGGCATGCGGGCACAGTGCCAGCCTCACGGAGCTGGGTTTATTCCTGGCATTATTCCTTGCAGGACACACATGGACAGAGGCTCCCTCGTGGCGGGCGAGCGCGGCGGGAGAGCCACGGGAGCGGGGAGGCCTCTGCATCTCCCACCTGCGGGGGAGCTCCCGCCTGCCCTTGCCCCGCTTCCCCTTGCGGTCTGCAGCCCACTCCCGAAACCCCCACACCGTGTTGTGGCTGGGCTGGAGCTGGTGCAGGATGATTGATTATCGTTATTAAGGCCGGTGAATGGCTTCTGAGCACATCCAAGCTGTTCGGGAGTCATTAGTCATCCTTCTAGCATGGAGCCAGCCCAGGCTGGATGCCCATGCCCAGTGTGGAGGTAGAAGCCCCCCCAAGTTCCTGGGAAAGGGCGGGGCCGGGCGGCGGCCGCGCTGCCTCCCTACGGCACCGCGGGCACGGCCGCTCCGTGGCAGCGCTGCACAGCGGGGACGTGGGCCGCCGGCGGGGACGGCCAGGCGCTAACGCCGACCCGGCTCAGCAAGGGGAGCAGAGCGTGAAAGCAATTTCACACGTTATTAGACAATTCAGGTGTTGGCCGCACAGCTCCTGCATGAGCAGCCCTGCTCCTCCGCTCCCGTCTCGCCCACCCTGGGGTCGCTCTGCGTGGGGCTCGGATCCGGCAGCTCCCTGTGGCTGCACCACCTCTCCCGCCTCCCTGTCCTGCATGCTCCCAGCACCACCGGCATAGCCCCAAGGCGGTCTGACACCAGCTGGTCCTGGGCTTGAGGCACCTGGCATGTTCCCCCAAGCGTTCAGCACCAGCAGCAGTGAGTCAGTGATGAGCCAGAGGCACCAACCCGTTTCGGAGCAGCACCGCAAAGCCACTTGCTAATGCTGCAGCAGGCTCCAGGCAGCCGCTCCGAGCTGGCCAGCACGCCGCAGCCAGACGTGGTGTCCTAGCTCCTAATGCTCCCAGAGCCCCTGCCAGAGACGCTGTGGAGGGCTGTGGCTGTCCCCGGCATTGCAGCCGTGCCGCTGTGCTGGAGGGCGGCGAGCATGCTGCCTGGTGCCCGGTGCACCGGCTCTGGGCTCCCTCACGTGGGCCACCCTGCTCCCACACACGTGCAGGCTCCTGGGGATGGTGCAGGCACAGGTTGGCTCCACTCAGAGCCAGCTCAGCTCTGCAAGTGTTTAAATCAAGCACCATACTCTGCAAACACAGCCCTGCCAGCAGAAGCTGGCAATGCCCTTCAGCCATGGGCTACTCCTGTTCTCCCTCGGTCCAGGGTGCCCTCCTTGCTCCTCTCTTCCCCGTGGCACTGCAGGCCTGGCTGAACATTTATTCACCTCCTGAGGGGAGGGCATGTGTACGGGTTTGGAGTAAGGCTTGGGAAGGTACCCGTCCTTCTTGCCAGCCCAAAGGTCGGAGCTGGCAGCTTCCTGCAAGGGAGAGGTGCCGAGGTGCAATTGCAGCCGGGAGTGAAAACTGGCCTTGAGACTTCTTTGAAAGCTCGGGGCTTCCTTGAAAGCTGCTTCACACTTGTGCCTTTGCAGTGCTGGCGGGGGCCTTGCTGCTGGCTCTCTGCTGCCTGGATGCCAAGCTGAAGCCACAGCAGGTTGATGTCTGAGCATGTGGCAGAGCTGCTTGCCTCAGGTGCCTCGCCACTTGGAGATGCCTTTTGCGGCTCCACATCCTGGCCAAGCCTCTTGCTCTGTCCCTGGAGCCAGGCAAGCTGGGGCCAGGACATGAGGCAGGAGGAAGAGCAGACTGGACCATGACTGTGGTGGTTACACGCATGGGGCTGGCAGCCCTGCGGCTCAGGGACAGGGCTGTGCGGGGCCAGGGGACCCTCCTGCCATGCCTCACTTCCCACCCCCAGCAAGGGAATAGGGAGTGGGTTGTCCCTTGGAACAAAGGTGTGACCTGAGACTCAGGAGACGAGTCCTGCGCCTCTGTCCTGTTGCTGGAGCCTGTCATGGAGGCGCTTCCCGCACAGCAGGAACGGGAGCTGGGGCAGGGAGGGCACACGTGCTCAGCGCTCCCCAGCACTGCCACGGTGACAAAGGGGGCTTCAGATCGACCAGGACCATGGAGCTAATGTGCTGCCTGGCCACGGGCCAACGCACCAGTGCTTACAGCCTGCGCTGGGAACCAAGAGCATCCTCTGCATGCCCTGCTTCTCCGCCGCGCTGCCCGCCACACGCCCGCACACCAGCCAGCTGCCCAGCCCTGGCAGCCCAGAGCTCCTCGCAGGCTGTTCCTGGTCTCCGTGCAGCAGGGCACCAGTGCCAGCCTGCGCCAGGCTCTGCAGCCCTTTGCAGGGAATGAATGGAGCTGAGGAGCCGGGCACTGGGTCCCACCACGTGCTGGCAAACAGGAGCGCAGGGCCTCCTGCCCTTCCTCCTGCAGCGGTTCCAAGGCACCAGGCCTGCAGGAGGTGGATGGAGGGCTGCACGCCGGCTGCAAGGGGAAGCTAGAAAGGGGCTTTTCACATCGAGCTTAACCAGCGCTGGTGTGGGCACCTTCAGTGCTGATGGCAGGAAGGACAGCTCTGCAAACCCTTCCTGCACGGAGCGGACACTGTTTCTCTCCCTGTGTGGCTCAGCAAAGGGAAGAGAAGCCCTGTTGCACCCACGTAGTCCGTGCCTCTGCCCCTGCATGTGTGCGCACACAAACACATGCAGACAAGCCGGACAGGGGCCAACAGATCAGGATTTGATCCTTGTTGTTACACCCCATGGGTGGACTCTATCCAAAAGCCTGCATGTCCAGGATATGAATCAGCTTGGACAGGAGGAAAGCTGCCATTCCTGGACAATCTGAGCTGCCTGGCAAGCTGCTCCGGCAGCCAGGCTGTGCCAGGCACCAAACTCCTGGCAGGGCCGGGCTGCATGTAGCAGGACCTCGCTGGCTTTGCCATGACCTTGCACATCAGACCTGGGGCCCTGGGACATGTTTCTCTACCCTCCTCATGGGCTTTTTTCCCAAGCTGCTTGAGCCTCGGTAGAGCAGAGGTGCGTGACCATGGCGATCCCTAACCTTGACCTTGCAAGGAGCCGTTCCCCTGCCTGGCTGTGACCTGCTTTGCCCCTGGTCACAAACATGTTCCACAGGCCCAGCCAGAGCATTCCTCCTGGAAGAGCATGTCCTCTGCAGGCTATTTAAAGGCACACTTATGCCCTTTATTCTTCCCCATGTCTAGGTTGGAAGAGGCCTGTACCCTTTGCCAGAGGAAGCGGTTGTGGGCTTGGGGCAGTACTGAGTGCCATGAGTTTGAGTCAAATAATGTGAAAAGAGAGCGATGTGAGCACTCCATCTACTCAGGCCAAGTAACAGGGCATCTTCTGGAAACTGGCTCTGCAGGGAAATGCGCCACAGCCACCGAGGTTCAGATCTTTGGATTCAGAAATAAAACGAGCTGCCTCGGCTAATCCCTCTTTTTCTATCAGGGTACACAGCAGGGTCCCAGGACCTCAGGGTAGGCAGGGCACCTTTGCCACCAATGCCGAGCTGAGGACATGGCCCTGACCCGGGCTGTCCCAGCACAAGCATGACGGAGCCTTTCAGTTCCTCTTCTGCATCCTGCTCCGAGCACAAACTGCCAAGGGGCTGTGTCGTCAGGCAGCGGCGACAGGAGGCCAGGCCTGCAAGGGGAAAGCCAAAGGGTTTTACAAGCCTCTCACCAGTCTTGTGCACCCTAGGTTTTCTTCTAAGCAGTAGATAAGGAAGGAGAAATATAGCAGCAGTTTCACAGCCCTCCTTGTCCTTCTGTCACCTTTCACCCTACTAAGGCCCCGGGTGTCCGAGGGCAGGGGGAAGAGAGGCCTGCTACTGACTCGTGTCGACGCTGGAGTCGATGTTCAGCTGATTGTATCTGCGCCCTGCTGAGCTGGCAGGAAGGCGGCTCGGGAGGGAAATCCGACCTGATTTGATTTGATTAGGAACGGAAAAATCTGGAGGAGTCATCAGCAGCAACCTGGAGGTCTAGGCCCCACCGCTGTCTCGAGTGAGCCCCGCCAGGGCTGGCTGCTCTGTGAGGGGGAATGGTGGCGGCAGACATGGAGACACGAGGTCTGGGTGCGAGGGGACACTGTGGGGCCACCGTGGGACCACCTAGACTCCCTCAGAGCCCTGCCTTGGGCACGTGGGGCCAATTCTGCATTTCCCCAGCTGAGCAAGTCCCCACCAAGCTGGCAGTGGGGGCAGCCCTTTCCCTGGGCCACAGGCTCCTTGTGGCTCCATGCTGGAGGCACCTTTGCTGAGGCCTTTCAAGTGTTAATGAACACCCAGCCCGGAGGCAGCCACAAGTGCAGATAAGCGGGAGGGCAACCTGCAGATAAGCAGGAGGGTGAAACCCAAAGGCGGCTCTGACCCAGGTCCTGGCAGCAGGACCACGCGCGTGGGCTGAGGCGAGAGCAGAGCAGAGCCTGCCCGTGCTGTCCCTGCTGCCCTGGCACCGCTCCCCGACCCTCACCGCGTTTCGCTTGGTGGCACAGTACGCCTGGCGGGTAGTCAGGTGAGGACATGTCACCCCCACCGACGCACCTGGCCCGCAGCCACCGCCAGGAGGGAGCATCGCTGGAGCTCCCCGGCGCGCAGCCGGCCTCCAAAGAGAGCGCCCGCGGGCGCCGTGGGAGGCACGCGCCGCCCCGCCGGGGCACAGGAGCCCGCGTGCAGGATCCTGCCGCCGCACCGCAGAGCCTTTGATGCGGCGAAGCGCCAGGAGGCCAGGGCCGAGGGGAAGACGCCAGGCTGCCGCAGAGGCAGCGGCCTTACTCCCTGCTCGACTGCACCGGCGCTGGGTGCCGCGGGCGGCGCTCTCCCATGGAGCACGGGCCGCAGCCAGACGCCCTGGCTGCAGCACACGCTTCCCCTCTGACACCGTGTTGGTGCTATGGTGTGGGCATGGCATGCCGCTGCCTGCCATGGCCTTGTTCACGGCGCTGATGAGGCCTCGTGGCCTCCGCGAGCTGCTTCTCTCTGCTGCAGCAAGGGCAGGAGGTGCCTGAGGCTGCTCCCCTGGTCTTGCCCTGCGCACTCCCCGCTGCGGCACCACGCTGAGGGCGGCTGCAGGACATGGCTTCCGTCTCGCACACCAGTGACCTCCATCTCCGCACACCCCCAGGGCAAAAGTGCACACAGATATGGAGGAACTCCTGGCCACAGGATGTCGCGAGGCTGACGGGGAAGTTCACAGAGGGGTTCACAGTGTGGTCCTGCCTGGCTGTCTGCTCTGTCCCTGCTCCAACTGTCCTGCAGCTCAAAGATTTTTTCCAAGCT